AGCATCTCCTGTTCACACAAATCTGCTGCACACATTCTCCTGCAGCCATTCTCACAACAGCTACCCCTTTCCCTTCATCCGTGCACATATCCTGGCTGTATGCCCGTCAAATTAAGATTCAAATTCAATTCTCCTAGCCATAACTGAATCCCAAGCAAGCACCATATAGCAAATCTGTATTGTCATACATAATTTGGTATAAAGATCAACCGTAATTTACAAAATAGGTCACTCATAGACTATGTCTGACACAAGCTAGGTCAGTGGGGGGCTAGGCCAGTCACACGCAAGATCAGTCAGAGGCAAAGTTCGTCACTTAGAGACGGTCCAATCCAACAGCTAGGTCGGACAGCGACTATGATAGAGAGAGGTTAGGTTGGTCACAGGCCAAGTAAAAGGGTAGATCAGGCACAGAAAAGGTCATTCAGAGGCTACCCAAAGTCACAAGGTAGGTCAAGCACAAGCAGGATCAACAGAGGCCAGGACACTCGAAGGCTAGGCCAATAACAATATAAGTCAGTCACAGGTTCGGTCAGACAGAGTTCCCATCCATCAGAGGCTAGGCCAGTCAAAGGGTAGGTCAGTCAGCTACAGGCTAAGACACTCACAGACTAGGTCAAGCACAAGGTAGGCTTGACACAAGTAAGTTTGGTGAAACGCTGCGATAGTAACAGGTGGGTCACTTACAGCTAGGACAGATACAGGCAGGGTTTAGTCATAGGCTGGGTCACTCACAATAGCCTAGGCCGATCCACGACAGGCCAGGTCAGCCGCATGCGAGGTTAGATACAAACAGCTTGTAGAGTTTTGTCTCGACTCGACTTTTTGTCAGTTGATCATTCATCGGCACTCGCCAATCTGGCGATTCTACACACCACGCCTGACTCATCTCTAGTCGACTAGGTTGTCACGGCCATTTCTCGCCCTTACCTGGGTCGAGCAACTTTCTGCTCAGAATCTGCATATTGGATTTTTCGAGATTCAAACTTGGCCTCATCTCGTTACTTTCTTGAAGCCAAGCTATCCGCTTGTTCGCTAGGTCGTATCTACCTTAGCACCTAACCATCAGCTTTAGGTCGTTCCTACCTCGACTCACGAGTTGATTGGTCAGTCAGGACCGAGTAGACTCTGAGTCGACTCGAGTTGCCTGTACACATGCCTAGATCAGTCACAGGCTGGATCAGTTGCCCCATAGATTAATCACAAGCTGAGGTGGGTCACAGGGTAGGTCGGCCAGGATAAATGACAGCGTGAGTGTATCAATGATGTCGAGGAAAAGGAGCACGGGAAGGGGGCGGGGCAATGACTCGTTGTCGTGCTAAGAGGGACAAGAGTGCAACAAGGAGCTCTGCTGATTCATGGCGGTGAGCAGAAATCGTAGCGACTCGGTATGTAACCTAAAGTTGCACATTGGCCCCCTCTCATAAAATTACTAGCACCACAATCCGTAGGCTGTGAACATCAGGCGGCAACGTTTATTATGACTCAACTGAAGCCACTACTTAGATGTTGCGGTGTTTTTGTGTTATGCCAGATAATATATTTGAGCCATATGGTTTTGGAAGTTGTGGCAAGTTGTATCCATCATGGTGCAAGAATTATGCTTTAGCGTTTCTAGTGTTTTCTTATATAAACATTGTATTAATGTCCTGTTTTAAATACAATTGAGCTTTAAGGCCAAACGCAAGAGAGGCAGTTGCAATGCAAGCAAACCCAGAGACGTCCCGAATCTGTCCGTGGGAGAGTCCTCAATGCTACAGGAAGAAAGGTCTCGAATGTGTCTCAAAAGTGTCTCGAAAGATACTTTCGGGTCAGTTGGGCGATCCACTTGCAGGACATTTCACTTACTCTCGAAAGTGTCTTTCGAGACACTTTTCAATCTGTCCCGAAAGTATTCGAAAAGAATATTTTGGGACAGTTTCGGGACATTCCATTTTGGAGATGTCGAAGTAGTGTAGCAGTAGGAAGACACCTTGAATAGAAGGGTAGCATTGAAATTCGAAGTTCTGCTCCCACACTCTGGTTGGCTGAACTTCGCCCAATCAGGTTCAAGAACCTCGCCACCACCAAAACGAATTCGACTTCACACTTGGAGCAGGAAGGTCCTTGCCATCAGCTGCAGGAAAGTCCTCGTAGTTGCTCCAAGGTAGAATATGTCGAAGTAGTCAAGTCGAAGTGATAAGTACTAGCTAGCTAAGGATGAAAGAAGTAGTCGAGGCTGAGATTAGTAGCTAGCTTAGCACGAGAATAGATCTGAGGATCGTAACAGCTCGGATACAAGTGAAGCAAGGCTACGGCGCGCAACCACGTTAGGCGAGGTTGGCCGAGCCTGCCAAGGCAAAGGTGGCGCCGTAGCTAGAAGAAGAAAGAAGGAGAACGAGTAGTGGCAGCGGAAGAGCTAAGCTAGAAGTAGAAGGTGGGATCCAAGATGGCAAGAAGATAGAATTACAATGATCTAAGGACGATACAAACAAGAACTAGGCCCTGTTCGGCAGCCAAGGGGAAGAAATTTTGTAGGAAGGTTATGGGAAGGTGAGGCTCGGATCAAACCAGGGTCAACGAATTTTGACCCTAGGTTGACTGTTCCGCGGAAAACCTGCGCCATGGGGGAGTTGGCGCAGATATGGGGGGGGGGGGGGAAATGGGAAAAGGCGCCGCAAGAGAGAGGCACATTTGGCCTCAAATGTGCTTGCCCCAGGGCACTGTAGCGGGAACAGAAAGGTTCGCCAGAAAAAACAAAAGATTTGCGCCCCATGCTGTTGGGGAAATCCAACTTAAAACAAAAAACAAACAATGTGTTTTTCGATGTAGTAACCCTTTCCTTTGGAGGGTCCAATGTTGGCCCGTGAACAGTGAACCCAGGTGGAATCAAAAAGTTGATTCTTCTGTTTTCAAAGAATCGCTTTCTTCTTCCATCTCACTAGGGCGGAACCTTTCCGCCAAGGGGGGAAGAATATGACAGAAGACGGCGCGGAAGCAATGTTTGGAGGTGTTCGCGTCGCTGCTGCTAAACACCTGCGTTTCGATTTCCGGAAAGTTTACCCTACAACCCGTACTGTTTTGCCCTCGATAATGCGATTAGAAGCTTCGAAGAAGACGGAAAAAAATTCTTCCGCCCTTCTTCCGTGGCTGCCGAACTGGGCCCTAGAGAGATATTTATGCTAAGGAAAGAGAAGCGAGACTCTAATAGGAATACCGTGTTGCTATTCTATCTAGCATAGCATCTCGACATCACGCCTCGATGCTATGCTCTATACGGGAAAAGGCCCGAGGCTAGCAAGTGTTGTTGTTCGTAGGTAGCTAGCCAAGGACCCGCTAGGAAATTCCCATGCATCTCGCATGGTGAATTCCGTCTTATTACACTAGCACTCAAATCTCGAGTTCGGCACAAGCGTTGCCTACCAGAACCACATGAAATTGCGTTTCCCACCAGTTACCACTGCAGATCGACATTAGTTCGCAATCACTCCTGGACGAATAGTTCCGCAAAGCGAAGTGCCAAATATGCAACCGTTGTGTCGATCCCAGTTCGCCCAAGCAACGAATTTGTGTCGCTCCCCGTTTTCAATGCCAGTGCTCCTCTAATGCAAGTGCTCCTCTAACAGCTCCTGGAAATGACCAAGTCTGAGAGTTGCTAGGAAAATGCAGTAACAAATCTTGGAGGGTGAGTTGAGGAGAAGACAATCCTATTTCCCAATTGATTAGTTGGGAGTAGGGAAATGAAGAATGAACCAGAAGGCTCAGACCCCTTCCCTAGACCCCCTTGGGGTGCAGCCACCTTCCCCATGGCAAGGAGGGATGCACTCCTTTGGGCCTTGCTCATGTGGCAACAAACAAGGTTCTCAACCAATTACATTTTAGATGGCCAGGATAGGAAATGCACAGCAATCACAAACCTGTGTTTGATGTTTATTGGTTGTGTTTGAAGTGAGCGGCGGAAATGTTGTCGACTCACTTCTGGAGCTGTGTTCTGATTGGTCGAATTAGGCCTGAGTTGCAATTACGTGGGTTGTGTTTGATCCAACTTGAACCAATTACGTGGGTTCAATTCATTAGCAATTTCTGTTGGTTGGTTTCCCAATCAACCCACAATTCCCCGCAAGTCTCGCTTCTCCCTGTATTCTCAACCAATCAGATTTCCCACCAAACCCCCCTCTCAGCTGGTTCGACGTATCGAGACCAGGTGGGGGTTGGGTCCGAATATTACACACCTAGTGCGCTGGCGGCAGTAGCGCCATGGGCGTTGATGCCTTGGGCGATTGAGCCTTGCCTTGGCGCATCTGGGCCTAGAACGCTGAGTGTGGTTTTCGTGTCAATACCTACATATTAACGTCTCTGAAACATTCTCACTCATTTGTACAAGTGCATTCGCCCATGTTAATGACATGTTCGTTCTTACCGTTTGCAGTATAAATGGAAGCGCACATCCACCGAGCCGTGAAAAATTCTCGTTTTCGAGTTGGCCCAGATAACCCTAGCCAACTCTACCCTACCCTACTCAACCTAAGAAAAGGCGGATGAGTTTTGGTTTGCTCACACTCTCTTTCCTGCACCCTCTTGCTCCACTACCTCCCTCCCCCTGTTCCATCTCCCTCCCCGCATCTAACAATCCACTTTTTTTTTTTTTTCAAAATTGTCTTTCTCACCAACCAACGATGCCCTCTGCTTCCTTGCTCTACTGTTACTTCTCCTGTTTGACAGATCATTCAACCAATAGGGGCACGTGCGGTGTTTGTAGGTTTCGAGCGTTGACTCACCATTTTTAGATTCTCTGGAACGCAAAGCATTGATTCGCTTCAAAACTCCAAGCATTTCACTGAACCGCATACAAGGGAGACATTTTGACACAGCGGGAATGCGGGATCGGCATGATGCCATGCCAGAGCCACTGGCAATCTTACCTTTTGCATTGGCTCGACGCGACTTGACTCGCTTGACCCCCTTGACCTGTGTTGACCGGTTGACCTGCTTGCAACCAACCACGTGCTGCTAGGCGCATCATGCTGCTCCTCGCGATCCCCTCTTGCCCCTCCTTTCAAACTGTTCTTCCCTTGCTACTTGCTCTGTTAGTCATGTATCCCGTATCCCTTTGTGGAACGGAGAGAGCGAACCGGTTCGAATCAGTCACGCGCCTCGTCTTCCTACCTGATAACGAGTACAACTCGAAATGCCTCGACGGAAGGTGCGCACCTTTTTTTTTTTGTTTTTTTTGTTTTTTTTATGATGATTGGACCTGCTATTAGGTCTTTCTCCTTCGACCTGCCATTCCTCCTCTCTCATACGTCCAATTGATTCCCTCACAATTCCTTTCCTCCACCCCTCCATCCCCTCCCTTCCCCCACTCCCTCTCCTCTCCTCCTCACCCACCCACCCACCCACTGCCCCCCGAAGTACCCCCGCATACTACTTCCGCGCGGGGGCGGGCGCGGGGAGGCGCAAGTGGCACGTGCATCTGCCCCAGGGCGGCTGGTGCTTCTCGCCGCTCAAGTGTCGCGAGCGCGCCAACTCCCCCCTTGGCTCCTCGCGCTTCTGGGCCACGCACCTGCCTGCCGTTGTTAAAAACGGCGGAAAGATCAATAATGTGAGTCACAAATGAGATGCCCTCTTTCTCTCGCTCTCTCTCTCTCTCTCTCTCTCTCTCTCTCTCTCTCTCTCTCTCTCTCTCTCTCTCTCTCTATCAAACGGTCCTTTGTATTGATTCAGCAGAGGTGCAAAACATGCAGTGCTATCCATTATAACCTCCATCCCTCAAGCCCCTTAACTCACACTCTTTCCCCACCCCCTCGAGTGACCCTCTAGCCCTCCAGCGTGTGGAGGATGTCCCCCAGGTGCAGCGGCCAGGGGTCCGCTGCCTCTCTCTCTCTCTCTCTCGATCGGTCCTTGTATTCATTTTAGGATAGTACAAGGTAGGTAGGTCTCATTGGTCTTGGAGCGGACAGCATTGGCCTGCAGCTGCGTGCGCTGGAGAGTGGCGCTGGAGAGTGGCGCTGGAGAGTGGCGCTGGAGAGTGGCGCTGGAGAGTGGCGCTGGAGAGTGGCACTGGAGAGTGGCGCTGGAGAGTGGCGCTGGAGAGTGGCGCTGGAGAGTGGCGCTGGAGAGTGGCGCTGGAGGGTGGGGCTGGAGAGTGGCGCTGGAGAGTGACGCTGGAGAGTGGCGCTGGAGAGTGGCGCTGGAGAGTGACGCTCCAGCACTGGCTGGCGGTACTCGGTGAGTAACTTAGTTGCCACTGTCACACAAAATCGCCAGATTCCAGCTTCCAACCAGAACGGTTCAACAAACAGCGAGTCATAACCTGGTACCCGAGAGCTCCACGTGTGGACCTGGTGTGGCTCGTGTGCTGTGCTGTGACCGGACGGAGGTGCCTGAGAAAGGCATTCCACCGCAGTGCAACCCACCCAACTCCACCCGACCCCTCCCCACCGTGCCCTGTCCTCAGGCATCCGAGTCGTATCCACAGCTGGGCGGGCTCCTATCACAGGACAGCGCAACCAACCCCTTGTTCCACGGGTGGAACCTGGTGTGGGTGGTGTACTGTGACGGTGGCGCCTACAGCAGCACGCGGGGGAGGGCGGACCTGGGGGAGGGCACATCGGTGTACATGCAGGGGCGGCAGATTCTAGATGATATTATAACTGGTGGGCAGCAGATTGTAGATCATATAACCACTGGTGGGTGGGGAGGGGAAGGGGGAAGGATAAGGAAGGCGTTGGGGGCCATGGGGAAGAGTGCAAAGGAGGAGTAAGTGGGGTGTGGTTTTATCTGTCTACATGCAGGGAATAGGAGGCAGAGAGGGGGGATATAGTTGAACAGGAGGGGGAGGGTGGAAGGAGGAGGAGATGGGGCGTGGTTGATCTGTCCCCCTCTTGCCTTTCACCACCCTTCCCCTCCCGTCTCACCATTCATCTCGCAGATCTGTGCACGCAGAGGGGCATGGGGGCGGCGTTGCATGTCCTCTTCTCGGGCAGCTCAGCGGGCGGCCATGCCATCATCATGCACTGCGACCGCCTCGCTGCTGCCTTCCCCCACGCCAAAGCCACCTGCCTTGCCAACTCGGGCTTCTTCGTTGGTGAGCGCTGTGAGCTTGAGGGTGAGAGCAGGGTTCTTTGTTGCTCACCTACCCTGTCTTACTTGGTGAGCTTCGTGCACCGTTAACCACTGTGTTTTGTTGGTAAACTTTCTCCACTTTCCAACTTTGCCTTCTTTTTTGGTGAGCAGTCTCTGGAACCCAGTAGGCACAATTCCCCCTTTTGAGTCATGTCAGTTGTAGCCTTGTTTATCAAAAGGCTTCCTTCCCTGCTCTTCCTCCCTCCTCCCCCCTTCTCCTCCACCTCCCCCTTGTCCCTCCCTTTTTCCTCCCCCTTCCCATGCAGACGCCAAGGACCGCTTTGGGGTGTACTCGTGGCGGGAATACATTCAGCAGCTCACCGCTCTGCACCTCATTGAAGTTCCCAAATGCCCTGCAGGTAAAAACAGCATGAAGATACCACCTATCAGGTGAAAACATTTGAAAACAACCATAGACAATTGTCCTTTCAAGGGTGATGGGTGGGTGGGTGGTGGGTGATTTGCGCACTCTTTGGAGCCGCCTCTGGTTCTTCCATAGGAGGGGCGCATCTCAGTAAGAATTCCTCCTCTCCCTCTTCTGAAGCTACTCGAGAGGCTCTCCTTTTCTCTCCTCCTTTCCCTCCCAATCAGGTGCACAAGCGAGGGACTACTGGGTCTGCTTCTTCCCAGTCACTACGTCATCATGTTGCTCTCTTACCCCCCCCTCCCCCCACCCCCTCCACACACACCCCCTTCCTTCCTGCTTCCGTCCGCCTCAGGATCACAAGAGAGTGACAGCTGGGTCTGCTTCTTCCCTGAACACACCCTTACACGGGTCTCCACGCCCCTCTTCCACTTCCATTCTTTCTTTGACTGGCGGTTCATCCAGTATGGGCAGCAGCTTCCTATCAAAAATCCACAGTACTCGGCCAAGTGCCTCAACAGGCAGATATTACAAAGAAGAGCAAGTGTACTGGCACGGAAACGCACGTGGGATAATGTGAGGTGGAGGCACCACTACTGCTCGCGGCAAGAGCTGGATGCGGTTTTCTCCGTGGGTTATGCTGTGTATTGTCGCTTGGCGGAAGCAGCGTGTGGTGACAGAATGGGTGTGTTTTTGGCGCCGGGATCGCTGCACACAACGATGTTCAGTGTTAATTGGTCCTTAACAAGAGTGAGGAGGGTAAAGCTGAGCAGTCTGTTTAAAAAATGGTACAGTCATAGGGGTAAAAGGAGGGGATTGTTTGTGTTTGCATGACATTCAGGGTTGAATAAAATCCGCATGCAGTGTATGATTTTATCTTGATAATGCATGGTTACGGAAAAAAAAAAAAAAGGTTTCTCTTACATGAGAAGGATTCAATAATGCCAAAGTAAGGTTCAGGGTAATTGTAGGTGTGCATTTGTTAGGCTAGGTTGACCTCCTTGAGTCCCTCTACCCTGGACTGGTCGGAGCTGATTCAGGTGCACATGACAAGAGGGGGAAAGGATGGAATGGGAAGGGAATGGAGAGGGGAAGTGGAGGGAATGGGAAGGGAACAAGAGGGGAAGGGGAAGGTAAGAGGAGGGACAGAGAACGTAAAGATGAGAGGAAGGTGGTTGTTGCCTTATGTGTGAAATGAAAGAATGGTACCTTCCATTTCGACCATGAAGTGGTGCCATATGGCACCACACATGCCATGCATATGATGATGCATACACCATGCACATGCCATGCACATGATGATGCACACACCATGCACATGCCATGCACATGATGATGCACACACCATGCACATGCCATGCACATGCATGTACATGCATGCATCGCCGCCATCCATCCGCCCACCCACCCCACTCACACTCATGGGGGTGTGCATTGTGCCTTGTATTCTTGAGGAACATGCTCCTGGTGTCCCTTGCCGCCTCTGCTGTCTCCTTGCCTCGCCTCACCTGCTCTCTTCCTGCCTCGATGTCTCCATTAGGCCGTGCCACGTGCCCACGACAACACTGTTAGGGCCTATGCGTTTAAGCTATTTCAGAAGGGGAGAAATTGGGAAGGAAGGATGTGCAGTAGGGGAAGAGGGGAGAAAGCGGTGGGGTTGGGGGTGGGGGTGGGGGAGGGGGGGAATTTGAAAGCAGGGCAGCAAGGGAGGCATGCATGAGCACACGATGCACCGATGCACATTAGCTGAGTGTGAGCGAGAAGGATGGGTCAAGGGAGGGATGAGGGGAGGGGAACAGGTAAGATGCCAAGGACATCAATGGAGGCAGGCATGGGAAAGAGCGGGAAACAGAGGAAGGACGGGAGAGAGGAAAAGGAGGAGGACAACACAAGGCAACAGAGGTAATTCACTGGGGGCACTGGTGCGTGGGTTGTGAGAGGAACGCGGGTTGGGCGAGAAATGGCCGTGAACCTCGTCGACTAGAGATGAGTCAGGCGTGGTGTGTAGAATCGCCAGATTGGCGAGTGCCGACTCGATGAATGATCACCTGACAAAAAGTCGAGTCGAGTGATCGCCTGAGTCGGCCGAGTCGAGACAAAACCGTACTTGCTGTTTGTATGTAACCTCGTGTGAGGCTGACCTGGCCTGTCGTGGACCGACCTAGGCTTTTGTGAGTGACCCAACCTACGGCTAACCCTGCTTGTGTCTATCCTAGCTGTAATTGACCCACCTGTGGCTATCGCACCCTATCACAAATCTTACTTGTGTCAAGCCTACCTTGTGCTTGACCTAGTCTGTGAGTGTCTTAGCCTGTGACTGACTGACTTACCCTTTGACTGGCCTAGCCTCTGATGGATGGGAACTCTGACTGACCGAACTTGTGACTGACCTACCTTGCTATTGACCTAGCCTACGAGTGACCTGGCCTCTGTTTGACCTTGCTTGTGCTTGACCTAGCCAGTGACTGACCTACCTTGTGACTTTGGGTAGCCTCTGAATGACCTTTTCTGTGCCTGATCTACCCTTTTACTTGGCCTGTGACCAACCTAACCTCTCTCTATCACAGTCGCTGTCTGACCTAGCTGTTGGATTGGGCCGTCTCTAAGTGACGAACTTTGCCTCTGACTGATCTTGCGTGTGACTGGCCTAGCCCCCCACTGACCTAGCTTGTGTCGAACCTAGTCTGTGAATGACCTATTTTGTAACTTACGGTTGTCGATCCTTATACCGAATTATGTATGACAATAGAGATTTGCTATATGGTGGTTGCTTGGGATTCAGTTATGGTTAGGAGAATTGAATTTGAATCTTAATTTGATGGGCATACAGCCACGATATGTGCACAGATGAAGGGAAAGGGATACCTGTTGTGAGAATGGCTGCAGGAGAATGTGTGCAGCAGAGTTGTGTGAACAGGAGATGCTGGTTAGGTAGCTGCAGCCTGCAGTAAGGTGGTCTGTATGGTGAGTGAGGTGGCCAATGTGGGCCAACCCGTTTGGTTGGTTTAACTTAAGGTGCTGAGCCGCGACAAACACAACAGAGAGGTTTGACATGGAAACCGGGACACCAAGTGCATGAACATTGCAGATTTTGTTGAGATCCACGGGAGATGCTGCTGCTGAACGGGTTCGATTATGAACCTCGGTGTTGGCTCGACTTGATCAAACTAGTTCTCTTTGACTAGTGGACCGGTTGGACTCAATTTTGGTACGTTCTCAACCCCACCTGAGATTGACATGAGACTGACCTGAGACTCACTTGAAATTCACTTGAGACTGACCTGCAACTGACCTGCTTGTGACCAGCAGCTTAAAGGACACATCCAGAATTACCGTGTCGGCCCCAAAACTGTCACCACTTTCGTGTGATTGGTCGAGGGTTTTGAGTGGGTTTTTGACGCGATTGGTTCTCGATTTCCCCACCGAACCTGTTGTCAGAACATTATAGCTTATGCTGTTGTGTAGGCTATAGTGGGGTATCCCATAGGGGGTACAACCCAATTAGGGTTGGTACTTGTACTCACACATTTCATAGTTCATTCATTCGTGTTCTTTGCTTTCACATGGAATCAGAGCAGGTTCCCTCCTAGGGACTGCTTCTAGGGCCCACCGAAGCGCGCCCCGAGGCGCATTTTCCTTTTTTTTTTAGCGACCCTCCGTGTCGCCCCTAGCGGCCCGTCGCGCCGCCCTTACCTACGCGGCCCCGCCGCCCTTACATCGCGGCCCCGCCGCCCTTACCTACGCGGCCCCGCCGCCCTTCCTTCGCGGCCCCGCCGCCCTGCACGTCGTGGCCCCGCCGCCCTGCTATTCGCGGCCCCGCCGCCCTGCACGTCGCGGCCCCGCCGCCCTACACGTCGCGGCCCCGCCGCCCTTCATTCGCGGCCCCGCCGCCCTGCACGTCGCGGCCCCGCCGCCCTGCACGGCGCGGCCCCGCCGCCCTTCCTTCGCGGCCCCGCCGCCCTGCTCACGCGGCCCCGCCGCCCTACACGTCGCGGCCCCGCCGCCCTTCATTCGCGGCCCCACCGCCCTGCACGTCGCGGTCTCGCCGCCCTGCACGTCGCGGCCCCGCTGCCCCTCCTTGCGGCCCCGCCGCCCTGCACGTCGCGGCCCCGCCGCCCTGCACGACGCGGCCCCGCCGCCCTTCCTTAGCGGCCCCGCCGCTCTGCTCACGCGGCCCCGCCGCCCTGCGCTTCGCGGCCCCGCCGCCCTTCATTCGCGGCCCCGCCGCCCTTCCTTCGCGGCCCCGCCGCCTTGCACTTCGCGGCCCCGCCGCCCTTCTACCGCGGCCCCGCCACCCTGCACTTCGCGGCCTTGCCGCCCTCCCTTAGCGGCCTCGCCGCCCTTCACTTAGCGGCCCCGCCGCCCTGCACTTCGCGGCCCCGCCGCCCTTAGCTCCTCGCCCACTGCATCGTGCACCCGAGCAGTCGACTGCCGCGCCGCCGAGTACCGGGAGAGCCGAGCCGCCCTGCAGCTGCGCAACCGAGCCGCTCAGCAGCCGAGCCGCCGAGCCACCAAGACGCCGAGCCGCCGAGCCGCCCGACGCCGAGCCGCCCAGCAGCCGAGCCGCCGAGCCGTCGAGCCGCCCGACGCCAAGCCGCCCTGCCGCCCTGGACTCACCCGCCGAGCCGCCCGACCGCCGAGCCGCCCTTCTGCCGAGCCGCTTGTCCTGCCAGGTCTGGTGAGCACGCCCCACTGCTACTGCGTGCTCTGCCCCCCCCACTGCTTGCACTGCTAGTCTGTCGTCATGGCTACCCCCAGTGTCCTTGCTTTTGACTCTAAGGGTCGAGCCATTGACTTTGAGGTCTGGGTCGACGACCTGCATTTGTTTTTACAGTGCGATAGGGTGGACGGTCTTTCTCTCTTTGACCTCACCTCTGGCGCCTCTCCTGCTCCTGCAGCTGATGCTGACCCCACTGTTCGCTCTCAGTGGGCCACCAGCGATGCTGCTGCACGTCTTGCTGTGCGTCGCCACCTCCCTACCACTCAGCGCGCGCACTTTAGTCAGTACAAGAGTGCTCAGACCTTGTACG